CTAAACCTTAAACCCTAAACCTATGAAACTACCAGGTGGCCAAGGCCTTGGACGTCCCGCCAAGCAGCGTTTTTCCTTTTACTCGTGGAAAGGTGGGTGGTTGTCAAAATCATTGTCTTTTTTTTGGATCCTATGGGTTTAGGGTTTAGGGGTCTAGGATTTAGGGTTTAAGGTTTAGGTCCTTTTTTGGATCCTGTGGGTTTAGGGGTTTAGGGTTTAGGATTTGGGGTTTATGGTTTAGGATTTAGGTCCCTTTTTGGATCCCCATTATCATACGGCACCTATTATTTAGGGCACCCAAAAAGGGACCATAATTTTGACAGCCACCCAGGTTACTCTATCTGGCCACAAGGACTCCACGGAGTCTTGGATAACTAGTAGTATGTTCCCTAGGGATCCGAATATACAAATAATACTTACATTGGGCTCTGAAATCTGTAAATATTACCTACAGTGGGCCATCTGGATCCCTAGAACTGTTTTTTAGATTATCTTGCTTGGGGCTTTTTTTGCTTTGATGCGGGGCTGCTTGGTCAGGTTAGCAGGTACGGGCTGAAGATCATGCAGACAGCAATGGAGAATGCAAATGATCACTTTGCAAAGTCCATGGAGATTGCACATCAAAAAGCCTTGAAGGAACAGGCTGAGAAGGAAGCTCGTGAAGAGGCAAAGAGGAAGGAAGCGGAGCAGATCGTTGGAACAGGTCCTGAGCTGGGGGATTCTGTGCGCACAGCTTTCACGGAGTTCTCTTTCCTTTGGGAGGGCGCTTCAGAGCAAGGGGTCCTGATGAGGTCTCTGGCATATTGCACCACCTTTGTGGCAATGTGTACCTTCAGAGTCCTTTGCGGGCCATTTTGGATTGTCGTCGGCAACGTTCCAGAATGGCGTCGGCGAGAAACTGGGCAGCTTTTTGGGAATTTTGTAGGCAGTATTACGTGTTAAGGATGACCTTAGCAGCAACAAAGTGTAGTGGGCCAAGCTTAGGAAGTCCATGTGGATCTTTGGCTGAGAGTGCTTGCAGCTTTGGCTGCTCTGGCCGTTGTGATGATTGTGTGCATTCCAGGCACCTGGCAGTGATTGTTGCACTTAGCTGGCCTTTGGTTAGCTGGGAATGAAGGAATAGAAAAGAAAGCGGAAATTACTATGATGGGTTTCATAGTTTCAGCGTGTAGGGTTGAGAAGGCATGGACAAGAACATGAAATTACTATAATTGGTGATATACGGATTACTACAAGGATCCATTTCTTCATTCCTAGCTAGTCAAAGGCCATCTATGAGAGTCGTCTTCTCATGTGTCCTTGTGGGAAATACCCAAAGCCCTAAACCATGTCCTGCAAGAGTTCGTAGTAAGTTTACCACTGTGGCTTCTCGTATTTTCATTGCCACCACTACCACTACCAGGTTTGTTCTATTATTACTACCACTACCACTACTACTACTCCTACTCCTACTCCTACTACTACTACTACTGCTACTACTACTACTACTACCACTACCACCACTATTACTACCACTACTTCCATTACTTCTACTGATTCTACTCCTTCTACTCCCCCTCCTACTACTACTACTACTACTGCTACTACTGCTACTACTACTACTACTACTACTACTACTAACTACCACTACCACCACTATTACTACCACTACTTCCATTACTTCTACTGATTCTACTCCTTCTACTCGCCCTCCTGCTACTACTACTACTACTACTACTACAACAACAACACCTAAACCAACTACTACCCCTACTCAAAACCTTACTCCTGCTTCTACTCCTGCGCTAATTCCGCTGTTGCTGCCCGCCCGATCACCACAACCACAGCCGCCGCCACCGCCGCCGCCAGCACGACCACCACCACGACCACGACCGCGACTACGATCACAGACCACGACCAAGACCACGACAAAGAGAAGACCGCAACGACGGCGGCGACGACGACGACGCGGACAGCGGCGACGACGAGGACGACGGCGGCGGCGGCGGCGACGGCGAAGGCGACGGCGACGGCGACGGCGACGGGGACGACGACGACGACAGACGACCAGGAGCTTGCACCAGCTACTGCTTCCACCTACCCAGTACGTCTATTTTTGCTAGGCATCCCCTAGGCCAACAACGACAACACAGGCGGTAATGTTGCTAACATCATACTTTTTACTCTTCTATTGAGAGGCTGAAAGTTGCAATCTATCATCATTGTTGCGATCTCTCCGCCGCAGGTTTGAAGGCTGAGCTGCTTCCATCACAGTGGGAAACGCACCGAAGCCATGACTGCTCAGGCGACTCTTTACGTCTGCAAGTTCCCGACAAGTTACTGGGAAAAGGAGGGTTCTGGTTCCGGTACTTGTGGTACCTGCATGACGGGCCATCAGAAGACTCCTGCAGAGCTTTGTGCGATGTTCGCTGGGGCTGTTTTTCTGCAGCTTGGCGCTCAAACAGATGTGTCTTGTATTCCAAGTGCTTGCAAGTTGTCTCCCAAATCAACTCCAACTTGTTCGAGAAGAAGCACACTGATGCCAGATGGTACCTTCTGCCACTCATTTCGTCCAATGCTTTGGCATTCCTGTTTCCGCACCTGTCTGGCCTTATGGTATGTGTGACATTTGCGACTATAACCTGGTCTGCAGCTGACTGCGGCCTGGAAGCTGGGACAAATTTCGGAAAGATAGAATATGAGGTATATGGGGATCTTATTGTGGTATACCCAAAGCCACATTCTATCTACTTAAGGGGATTATAGATTCAGGCATCTGATTCTGGGCTTGAAGCTCTGCACTTCACGGACACACACAGCTTTCAGAAGGCCGCATGAGGGTTTTCAAGTCTTGCAAACAATGACATTGATTAATAACAACTTTGTGTTATCCAATAACTCTGAAGGGTCTGTGTTTTTTGCTTTTTTGCGTAGAAAGCTGATTTCCGGAGTGAGTATGGCTGCTTAGGGCACGGCAAGGGGCCCGGCAGTTAAGCCGAAACTTACTTGTTAGTATTATTGTAGGTTTTTCCAGGGTCCGATGAACCTTACCTCAATTGGGGTAGGTTTGTAATTTTTATGCCCCTTAAGTATCCCTAACTGATCTTCATAAAGCCATAAAGCCATTAAAGCTTAATTTCTATCGGCCCCCAAACCTACCTTGATCCATAAACCCTAAAACCTAAACTGCGCTTCTGCAAGGCCTGCACGAGTTTCTCAAAGCATGGGTGACACGATCTTTTCCCTGATGGGTTCACGAATGTGGTCGGTTCCCGAAATAGGGGCACCCCCAATATAGGCCCCAACATACTATAGTCCTTCTTAGAAGGACCCCCAAAAAACCCCTTGTTTTGGGGACTCTCCCCCAATTTATGGTTCCCGTTAAGTAGATAGAGTGGAAATTCCGCAACACCTAAACAGACTCTGAACCCTAAAGCCTAAACCCGAAACCGTACGCCCTAAACCCTATATGACACCATTATGTTGGTTTCCATTTTCTTTTCCATTATCCCTATAGAACCGCAATGGGTGTGTATAACCCCTATAAAACCCAAATCCAGCTCAGGAGATTGCCACAGCATGACCTTAAACCCTAAGCCGTAAGCCCTAAACCCTCAACCCGACACCCTAAATCCTAAACCCTATAGTGGGATAAGCTCAGGAGATTGCCACGGCATGTCTTGCTCTGCAAGTTACCTCACTGGTCATACTGTTCACTTTGCATTGGCAGCTCCAGGACCCGTGCAAACGAGTTTATTTCTTCAAATTGGACTTAGGCTTGGGGTCTAGGGTTTTGGGTTTAAGATTCAGGCTTTAGGGTTCAAGTTACCATACTGGCCCCCAATAATGGAGAATCAAACGGAAAAGAAAATGGAAAATGAAATGGAAACAGGGCTTTAGGGTTTGGGGGGGTCCGTGTATTTGGGTTCCTAGCACAATACAGGTCCGTAAATGAATTTCCCCATCTAGGGAAGAGTATGCCAAGTCCCATATAGTCTGGGCCTGTATGGAAACATGGCAGTATCTCGCTTCCAAGGCATAGAACGTGTTCTGTAAAAGGCATTTCAACTCCTGCCCTGTTTCTCAAGAGCCCTGACACTCCCAAAGCTAGCTGAGATAAAAAAAAGGTTGGATGGAGTATTAAAGTTGTTTAGTTCAGGTTGATGAGTCATCATACTCGAAAAGACTTCCATTGTTCGTGTTGAATTCACACTAGAGGTATTGCTCGCGCTTCTACCTGTGGCACTGAGGCATGTCATGTACCCCTTATGGCAGCAGCCTTCAAGCACCTTCTGCCTAACAAAGCTATGATTGAAGGCGGAAGCATAGTCTGATCAACTGTGAGTACCTGCAACAGGTCAGGCCCCTGAGCTGAGAGCTGGCAAGATTAGAGCAGGAGGTTTGCCGCAAACAACAAAGCTGACGGTTCAGTTGTGAAGTTTAGGCCGTTTTCCTTTTACCAAAAATGAAGTTCTTCACCATGTCAGCTTTGTGTCAAGCATGACTGTTACATGCTTTCACATGCCCAGTTGTGCCGGAGAGCTTTAACATGTCAATATGTGCAATTTTGTCGAGAAGTTTTTCTAGTTTTCATACCATGACGGGAGCTCACGGACCTATTTCTGGCCTGAAGAACATCAAGCTTGATCTTGCCTGTACCGCCCAGACATGTAATCTTCAAAGTTGTGCTGCTGCCGCGGCTGCTTTTGAGTGATGGTTGACCAACATTATGAGTTGTACATGTAGTATTTGTAGAAGTCATTTTTTTTTGATATAGTTTTGGGGTTCAGCTGGTTCACTTGTTGTTTTCTGTTTCTCATCTTTTTGCAACTGCATTCTTGCATTGTGCTTTGTGTGTTTGCTTGTCTATGTTCTTGACGTGTTCATGCCAATTTTTGTCCTTGTTCGCAAAAAATAGCAAATCACGAAAGCGCATGGCAATAGTGTGGTATGTATGGGTTTGCATTTTGCATAGCATTACGCTTGTTGATTTTTTGACGCCGTGCAGTTCGCTTTCAGATTTACAAAGACTTCTTCTCGCTGACACCGAAACCTTAAACCCTACACCCAAACGGTGTTTCATCGCTGCATGTATGTGATTGGACATGCCTCAGGAGCGGAAGCTGCATGTGGAGAAAGACGAGATAGACAAACACGCCAGGCAGCAAAGATTCACATGATAAGGGGTTATATAGGGGATCTTACACGGTCATATAGGGATATATAGGGTTTAAGGTTTGAGGTTTAGGGTCTAAACTCCTTGAAGGGGTTATATAGGGGATTACATAATAGACTGAACTACGGGTCATGAAGGGGGATATTAGGTGTGTAGACTATCGCTCACAAAGCTGGTTGCCAGAAAGTATGCCCTGTATTGATCCTTTCTTTTCGGGGGCACATCGGGGGGGAAATTCCCGGCATGTATTTTTTTCAAAGCAAGGAATGCAAATCGGGTCATTCCCCTTAACGGTAGATCTCCTCAAAGGGGCTTCAACAAGGGACTATCATGGAATATCATATCTCCTATCACCCTTTGTGAAAATTGTTGCTGTAGAGGAGAATGACGATACAAAATGCAACCATGATCTTGAAGCTTTGCCAAGCTGTGGTGCTGCGGGCAGGCAGAAGGAGATTGAGCGAAAGTTGTGGAAAGAGGCCATATAGATGTCTCCGGGGGTCCCGTTTACAAGATTCAGGGTTTAGGCTTTTGGGTTTAGGATATGCGTCCCACTGCCTTCATCCGCATTGGATATTGCCCCCCACTAACAGTAGGATAAAGTTTTAGTGATGAATCAAGATCTTCATATTGTCTTCATTGCAGGCTGTAAGTGAGGGTCTCATAGCCCCCCTGTAACCCTTTAGATTTTATAACCCCTCCTAAAAGGACCAATGCCACTCGTGGGTGTTGCTATATTACCCCCCTGAATTCTTCTCGAATGAGCGACCCTAATTCTCTCAAAAGTATTTTTAATGCACGGGGACCTGGGGGTGCGGTAACCCTAAACCCTTAACATTGAAACCCTGAAACCCTGAAGCCCTGAAACCCCGAAACCCTGAAACCCTAAACCCCAAACCCCACCCCAAACCCTAGGCCCTACACTCCCCCAAACTAACATGGAAACCCATATAGAAACCCTAAACCCTAAGCCCTAAACCCTTAAACCCTAAACCCCAGGTGCGAGGCTGGGCTATGACAGCCACGAGGAAAAGTCGTCAAATCGTCATGGCGGATCTCCTCATCAGCCTTGTCATCCTCGGTGTCTGCGGTCTGCTGATACTTACTGGTGGTTAACCTTAAGTAGGGGTTTAGGGTTTAGGGTTTAGGGTTGAGGGTTTAACGTTTGAGGGTCTAGGGTTTAGGGTTTAGGGTTGAGGGTTTAGGGTTGAGGGTTTAGGGTTTAGGGTTTAGGGCTATAATGTAGTTATAGTAATATAGAGGTAAATTTGGGGTTATATTGGGATAGCGGAAGGGAAAATGGAAACTACTATTTAGGGCTAGCATACTTATCGGGATACAGGGAATGAATATCTATATATATATATATAGACAGATAGATAGACAGGTTTAGGGTTAGTAGGGAATAACGGGAGATATAGTATAGGGATCTTTTAGGGAGTTTCTTCCCTTGTTCCCTAATAACCACCAGCAAGGATGTTTCATGGCGCCTTTGCAGCTTCTGGACAGGGCTCATGGGTGGGAGGATTCAACCTTCTGAACATGGTGTCGCAGCTGGCCCTGGGCATTGATGCCAATGCTGGGATGAGGGCTTTGTGGCTGGTGGTTGGTGTTTGCCTTTCTGCAAAGCCTTGCCTGGTTGCCATGCGCAAGTTTGAGCGCGGGCTGCTTGTCCTGTTGGGTTTCAAGATGTGTTTTTCTGTTCAAAGACAGTAATGCTTAGTTGTGTGGAAGATCGTGGGATTTGGGTGTCTTCCGCATCCCTATGCTTGCGTTTGCAGCAATGATGGGTTTCAAGGTGTTTTCAGCAACAAAAAAGATGAGTCATCTGAGGTTTCGGGCTGCAGCATATAGCCCACTGGATGAAATGACCAATGCAATGGAGTCTGCAGCAGACAGGACTTGGGAGATCGAGCAGCTGCTAGAGCAAGAAACAGGCCGCCAGCTGACAGACGCGGATTCAGCCGCCCTGGCTGTGCAGGAGGGAGGCCACCAGGCTGCCCACCTAGCCAGGGATGTGCGGATTGTGAAAGCCCGACTTCTGAACGAGACAAAACAGCATTTGCAAGGCTATGCTGCCCAGCTCCAGACAGACCCTGGTGCTTCTTTTGACCGAGATGATCTGCCGACGGAGCTGGCCAAAGCTACGGATGATGCTGGTGCCGCAGCCGGGGGTGCGGCCGCTGACCTTTGCAGGAAGGTCGCTCTGGTGGTGTCTGGTGGCTGGTTTCTTGGCGTGGAAGCAACGACAATCATTCAGCTCAGTGATCTTTTAACCTTACCAGTCATAGCACTGCTGCCCAGAACTTGACTAAGCCCTCATAGTACTTACTGGTGCTAAGGGCTTAAGGGAGATTGGGGAGCCTATGTAATCCCCATGTATACCTTACCATATCCTACAACAGTCTAGAATCACTCTAAACCTTAAACCGTAGAACAGTGCCCGATCTGCTTTCCCACTCCCCATTAAACAACACTAAGTTTAGAGCCTAGCGTACCTTGAGCTCTGAAGCTCTACACTTAAAAGCAGGCAGGTGCTTTAGGTTCATATGGGCTTGAGGGTTTTGGGTTCAGGGTTTAGGGCTTGGGGTTCAGGATTTATCGGGTTCAAGGTTTGGGGTTCAGGGGGAGTATTATCCACTGGACGTTTCAGCTCAGTCCCCTGAATGGAGGCCCCTCAATGATCCTTGAAGTTCTCCAAAGTAATTTTGTACCCCTACGCCTTAAACCCTGACCCCGAATCCTTAAAAAAATTTCAAGAACTAAAAACTTAAACACCCTAAAATCACCCAAAGCCTTAAAGAGCATGGAACAACTAAAAGCCTTAAAGAACCGTCAAAGCCCAAAACGCCTTCAACACCGTTGAAAACCTTGAGGACTTAACAACATAAACAAAAATCACATTCCAAGCACAAAAACCCAAAACATGCCGTAACAACTGAAAACTTTAAAAACCCAAACACGCTTTAAACACCCAAGAAAACCCTAAAAACCATAGACACCCAAAACGCCCTAAGAACCTGTCAGTGAAGACTTCTGACCGTTGCATTCCGAAGCCTAAGCCCCAAATCAGTTCTTCCTTATCCTGGGGCCGGGCTTCGTGTTTAGGGCGTAGGGTTAGGGGTGTCTTTTTGGCACTTTGTGTGTTGAGGGGCACTGGGACACGTAAAGGGAAGCCCAACCCCTGAACTCTAAACCCTGGACCCTAAACCGTAAACCCTGAAACACTCAAATCCTGAAACTTCAAACCCTAAACCCGAATCCCTGAAACCCTGAAACCCTGAAAATCTAAACCCTGAACCCTGAACCCCAAACCCCAAACCCTGAACACCATACTGCAAGCCCAGATAAACTTAAGGTTTCCCAATTTTTCTTGCTTTTAAAATTATTACCCAAACCCTGCACCCTAAACCCTAAACCCAAACCCCTAAACCTAAATCTTGAATTCAAAAATCCGCCCCCAAACCCAATGGCAATCAACCCCAAGGGTGAAGCGCTGAAAGAACCAACGTGGGAAATATCTTACTTGAGGATATCAGAAGGTTTTAGGGTTTAGGGTTTTACGGTTTTAGGGTTTAGTGTGAAAATCTAGGGTTTACGGGTTCAGGGTTTACATTACAAGTTCTTCTCGATATGATCGCTAGAGGGGACTATAGGGTTTAAGGTAGAACCCCGCCACCCACTTATAATCACAATGCATCCCTGCGGCGACCTGCTAAGGGATCCTCAAAATGCATCCCCCCGGCAACAAAAGACCCCCATAATAGGGTTTAGAGTTAGGGTGTCATGCATCTGTTATGGGCTCCCCCAGTACATGGGCCCCTCACAAAGTGAGGGCTGGATGTTCGGGAATTATGACGTGTTGTTTAAGGCTTGAGACGGTTAATTTAGCCTTTACTAGTCCGGGGGCCTTGCATATTGGGCGGCCATGGTGGTACGATGAGATTTCATGGAGGAAACTCGGGGACAATTGGGAGGATCCGTCTGTGGGATCCAAACTCGAAACCCTTTGCTGTCTGGTTTGACAATCCCCTCCTTGAGACTCCATTTCGGTTTTATGTTCTTTTCCTTTTGATTCACCATTATTGAGAAAGTTTTCCCCCTAAACCCTATACAATCCGCATAAGAAGCTAATCTAGTAGTTTCCAATTTATTTTCCATCATACACCACACCTTGGCCAACATTTGTTCAGCTCCCAAAACCTCAAAGCCCCTAAAACCATGTACCCTTAACCCTTAAACCCTAAACCATACACCTTAAGCCACCAGAAAAAAAAATACAACACCAATCCCTAGACCCCTAAACCCGCAAACTCTGAAACCTTAAGCCCCCCCAAAAATACACTCCACACACTAAATTTTGAAGGCTGGGGGCGGTGGGGGCAACTGTTGTGTCCCACAGCCGCGGCTCGGACGGTGAGGAGGTGCGAGCTTCGGGGACTCCCAGGCTTAGGGTTTAGGGTTGAAGGTCTGAGGTTCAGGGTTCAGGGTTCAGGGTTTAGGGTTTAGGATATAGGATTTATGCTTTCGGGCGCAAGGTAGGTTTGAGAATGACTTTTGTTCTTCGGTATCATTAGCTCCTGTAAGATGTCTATAAACAGCCATAGAAGTTGGATCTTACAGGGACCCCAAACCTATCCTAATTCAGCGCTTACACATGAGCTATAGTCTAAACTCCTTCAAGGAAGGTTATGTAGGGGTCATAAGCTATAGTTTAAACTCCTTTAAAGCGGGATTATATAGGGGAGTATCGTAGGGGCTACTAAGCAGGACACTATGATTTTAGATTATAGAACATATAGGGGAAAATTCTAGGGCTGTGAAGTCGAATGCGAGGAGTTTAGACGATGGCTCACATGTTGTGTGATACTTTGTTTCGCACATCATCTTGCTTGTGTCTATGGTCAAACTTAAAATGGCACCTGTTGCTTGGGTAACCCCAATTCCCAAAAATAGGATCCTATAGTAATCATATAATATGAAGACGATTTTTGGCGGGGTCCAATCTTTGATCGCTCAAGAGCACGGCGTCGGGGCACAGACCCCTCAACCCTAAACCCTCAACCCTAAACCCTCAACCCTAAACCCTAAACCCTAAACCCTAAGCCCTAAACCCTAAGCCCTAAACCCTAAGCCCCAATGGAAAACTCAGAAAGGTGTCACAGCCGCCTACAAGCTCTCTGGACGCACTTGAGAACGTAGAAGGCAGTGCTCAACGCCGGCAGAAGCGAAAAAAGCATCCTGGCCCGTTTTTTGCTGGGGTTTTTGGTTAGGATTTAGGGTTTAGGGGTTAGGATTTAGGGTTTAGGGGTTAGGATTGAGGGTTTAGGGGTTAGGATTTAGGGTTTAGGATTTTGGGTTGATTCGCGACCCATGCAAACTAGTAATATCAATAATGGGAATAAAATCCAGTACTAGTAGTAGTGTCAAGAATCGTCATAATTTCAGTATTAGCAATCATACCAACGTCAACCATAATGTCAACAACAGTATTTTTTTCGAGAGTTACGACTAACCACTAGTGGTAATAATGTCTACCATGATAGTAGAGATTATTATGAATGTATGTTAGGTATTGCAACCTTAAAACCTAAACCCCATGGTGCCTGAATTTGAGCTATGACTCCGATCCGTGTGTTTGTGTTGCTTGGCAGTATACATAAAAGATGCCCAAAGTCATGGGTTACAACCCCTATGGTTGTTGTTATAGATAAGATCGTGTTTTGAAATATATTAAGGACCAGTAAGTCTTAAATTTGGGAAAGTGCCTGCAGGACAGATAGTGTTACCAGAGGTTTGGAGCATCTGCCCTGAACTCTAAACCCTCAAGCTCATAAAAACTTACCATCACTTAGATTTCCCAAATTTCCTCGACTTAAAAACCTTAAATTTAAAAGTCCGCCCCTAAACCCTAAGGAATGGGAATAAACCCTTGTCAGATCCGAGGAAGCAGAATGTCTCCGACTGATGCTGTTGCAATGGAAGCCGATCTCCATACCTTGGTCAGGTCAGCCATGGTATTTTGTTATGCTTTAAACCCTAGGACCTAACATCATCTTAGATCTGAAGAGTCCTGTTTATCATTACTTCAGCCCCTCAAGACAAGTTGCAGATGTCTCACCTTGAGTTCTTTAGGTGTGTGTGCAGTGATCCTGGATTTGAGGGAGGCAGGGCCGCTTTAAGCGATTATGCAGCCACGGTGGGTGTACAAGTTGCACCGTATGCAGCAGCACCAGCTAGAGGCATTGAAAAATGGGAGCACGCATTTTGCATCATTTTCCCATGTCTTGCTTCTATCACACGGATGCCATAAAGTCTGTTTGCGGTGCTCGTCGAAGTTACTTCAGTTTGAGGATGCACAAAGGACGGCCGCACGTTTTGAAAGGTGCGAGAATGACCTGAACTAGACGAGGGTCATATGTTGATGGACAGTGGCGAGGCTACAGGCAAACCTGTCAGTATCGTTTTGAGGTCTATTTGAGGTGCCCCATACCATGATTTTACACAATATTACAAGTATCCGTACGAAACCCCCAGAGG